ACGGAGATGACCCCTGGAGGAAGAAGCGCAGCTTCTGGAGATGGCTCGCCCTCACCAGCGTCTTGAACATGAAGCCATGCTGGACGAGCCCGAGCTTCGAGAGCTCTTCGTTGAGCAGGCCGCCAAGTGTAATCCCGCCAGTGACGACCTCGAAGTGAAGAAGTTGAGTCTTGAGACGGCGCTTAAGGCTCTTCTTCAGCTGCGAGAGATCAGGGTGTTGATGCCAGGAGGGGATGTAAACTTTGAAACTTTCGACTCGCGAGGTTGAATGTCTAGCTTCAGATCAGCCAACATGTACTTCTTCATAGCGGACGTAGCTGCAACGGCATCCTCGAGTGGACCGACAAGCACGACGTTGTCAGCATAGGCCAAGACTCGAACAGAGGGAAAAAGCTCTGCGATATGGAGGAGCAGGGGGGTGGATACTGTGGCAGAAAAATACCGCTCGAGGTAGTCCTCCTCGCTAGCCTCCGAGTCAGCGGCAGCCGAGGCGGTTCTCCGTCCGCGGCCGCCCGCTTTGTGGCGGCAGCGGACGTCTCGACTGACAGTGGTCAGTCGGCTGCCTCCGGGTATCGCGTCTAAGGGATTTTCTTCCTCCTGCTTGCTCCTGCTGCTTGTTGCTTGATTGCTTGACCCTTAGGCTGCTTGTCTGCGCGGCTTCGCATTGAAGGCCGAGACCAACACCGCCCGTGACGGCGGCGACGCCGCAACGATGCCCAAGCGGGGAGGAAGCAGGCGAGCTCGGACCAGCAGCAAGCACCCCAGTGATGTCGAGCTCTCCGGAGGCACCCGGCGTCACAGTGGAGCGCCTCCAGCGTCAGCTGCATGTTTGCGAGCCAAGACAGCAGCAGGGCCGTCATCAGGCACGAAGTGCCGACCAAACGCCGCATCCTCAAGAGGCATCGAGCGCTGAGCAATGATGTCCGCGAGATACCAGATGAAGCGGAGGGTGTCAGGATGCAGGGATATATATATAGGGTACCGTCCGCCGAGATGGCAAGAGGGATGAACTTTGATTGTAGGAACTTTGATTGTAGGGAATAGATGCTTCTGTTGGCTGTCAAGGTTTTATTGATGGCAAGGAGATTGTCGTGCGGCAGAGCTCTTGCTTGAGATTACGAGGAGGAAGTGTTGCACCATGGAACGTGAGCGATGGTGGTGGCGAAAGAGCTCAGAAAGAAAGGTATGTGAATGGAATGCCCATGGAGGTTCTCTCGAGGAACAAGACGAGATGTATTCAGAGGAGTAGTTGGCTGTTTACAGCTCTCGTGACGCAAGAAACAAGACAGAGAGATCGAAATCACCACGAACTGCAGAAAGAAAGGGTCTAGAGGGCGATCCGTGTTATTACATACGTCATGTTGATTTGGAAAATCTAGAAGTTCGAACATTATGAAGTGGACCGAAGTTGCTCGTGTTGGAATAGGTAATCGTGTTCAGCTTCTTGTGGAATAGGAATGATGGACAAAATGAGGTGTTGTCAATCTTTGTGTGCTAGTGGGAGCGAATGAGAGAACAATCTGTACTTCCTTATCCTCTTACTATTTAGATGCCAAGGAAAAGAGTGTGTTCGAGGGGAAGGGGGAGAGGGTGAGAGCGAGGGAGAGGGTGGGAGCAGGCAAGGAAATGGGGTCAGGGGGAGGAAGAGAGACAGATAGACAGAAGGAGGAAGTGACCGAGTAAGAGACAGCCAGTGATTGAAAGGGAGAGTGAGGTAAACAAAGAAAGTGATGGAGCAATGATTTACAGCTGGAATGAATGAGTGATCGAATGAGAGGTAGCGAGGGAGGGAGGGAGAGGAGCGAAAGAGGTAGGAAGGGAAGGGAGGGGAAGGAGGATAGATAAAGCAAGGAAATTTAGCGAGGGAGGGAGGGAGGAAAACATGGAGGGAGGGAGGGAGGGAGGGAGGGAGACTACGGTGGGAGGGGAGGGATAGGAAAGGAGGGACGGAGGGGAGGAAGGAAGGGGTTGGAGGAAGGGAGAAAGGGGGGGAGGCGCCGGGTATTCAGTTTGGGTTCCACCTGGAGCCACAGGATCCTCGAAGAGAACAGGTCCTTGGTCGCCTGGCTCATCCTGCAAGATAGAGTTTCCGTCAAACTTTGACCTTGCTGACATTCAAATTTCTGTTGGAAATGTTTCCTGTCAGAGTTTCAGCCTCGTCAACAGAAGCGTAACCTTGACATGCGCGTCTGCTCACATTGTTGTTGAGAACGTGAGGAATCCGGACAATGTGGGCTGAGTGGGAGGGTGAGGGTGTCAACTGTGGTACAGGAGGGAAGGGCATACGAGTTACAATCGATTTTGTCGCAACCTCTGAGTGAGGAAGAGCGACGCTTTCATTGGCGTCAGATCGATCTTGTGCTCTATAGCTACCTCCATCACATAGGCGCTCAGAGCCTTCGCCGCCTCAAGCTCGCGAGTCTCACGGCGAACCTCATCTCCAAGCGCTGATCACAGTAGTCTGCTTTGTTCTGCTTGAGGCACTCTTTACCTTATGCGAGTGAAACTCTACGCCTAACAGTAGCCCAATGCACCTGGCACTTGCAAGTGCGATCTGAAGAACCGAGCCTTCATGTCACCTTTGCTCGCAGTTCCGCAGAGTGACAGGACAGATGAGCTGAATGTCAACGTGCTTGTAGACCCAGTAGCGAGGAACATCCGCATGCCAAGAGGAGTCACAAGTGCTCGTGAGACGAGTCGACGACGTGAATTGGATGATAGCCGTATAGCAAACAGGAGGTGTGTACCCTCAGAGGCTTCTGGAGATGGCTCGCCCTCACCAGCGTCTTGAACATGAAGCCATGCTGGACGAGCCCGAGCTTCGAGAGCTCTTCGTTGAGGGTGGAGACCTTCGCTCGGAGCTGACTAGCATGAAAACCATCGGTACCGTCTGTTGAATCTCAAGCTTCAGATCAGCCGATATGTACTTGTTCATAGCTGGCGTAGCTGCAACGGCTTCCTCGAGCGTGATGGATCTGCAGGCTGAGCTCTTGCCTCGCAAACGTGTAGCCACATTTCAGCTCCTCACCATGCTGGAGGCGTCCGCCGCGGAGAAAGGGCAGCCGCCGACAAGGAGCCGGCGCTGCCCGGGGGTGTCCGCCTGCAGCCGTCGGTGGGGAGCAAGCAGGCGAGCTCGGCGACCGTCCCAGGCAGCTTCTCCAGCTCCGCGACGGTCATCAGCTCCACTCTCTACCTCGACTGCCTCCTGACGTCCGATGCTGTGCCGGCCCTGTAAACCCAAGACGACCCTTGAAGGTTGCAGACGGCCATGTTGCGCAGAGACGCATGACGGTACAAGTCGACCTCCATCAGCGCCTGTTGCTTCTTTCTACCTTGTGCGAGTAAATCTCCTGCTCTCTCAGCTGCAATCGGGCACCAAGTGCCGACTGCCTAAGCCCGTAGGCTCAGCCCAGCAGTGGCAGCTTGAGCAGCTGGGCCTACCGTCCAAGCTCTCAAGGTCTGGCGGACATCATCGCTCAGCGCTCGCTGTCTCTCGAATCGTTCCTGATGACTGTTGACCCGGGCGGTGTGGCAGGCCAGCCGCTAGGGTGTCAAGACAAGGAGGAGGGGAGGAGGAGGAGAAGAACTCAGAAGCCGAAAATTTACTGAGAAGAGAGGGAGAGAAGGTAAGAGGAGAGAAGACAAGAGAAGAAGGGAAGCAGGAGGGGGAGGAGCGAAGCTAGAGGCGAGAGCAGATTCAGTCGCCAGCTACCAGTTGTAGTAGAAGGTGGCGACGTCGATTCCTCCGCAGATGAGAAGCGTCAGGACGCCGGCAGGAACTCCGTAGGTGTAGAACATGAAGAAGGAGAAGGCGATGGAGACGAACGGACCCGTGATGACCCACGAGGCCCTGCAGACCCGTAAGAACCAGAGGAAGGAAGAAGGAGTGAGGAGAGGAAGGGAGGGAGGAGGGGAGAGGTAGGGTGAGGAGGAGAGTCGAACCAGTCTCCGCTTGTCCACATGTTTTTGTTCCATCCTGGCGTTAAGCTCCCCTCGCTGTTGTCTGTGAATGTCTCCTTGTTCTGCCAGCACGTCAGCTGCGGCTGCAGCTCCTCCTCCTCCTCCTCCTCCTCTCCTGCACCTCCAACCCTTCGAACCTCTCGTCACCTCTAGCTGTTCCCCTGCCCTGATCCTGCTCCCATTCTGCACCCGACCTCCTCCCTCCTCCATACCTGCTCTCCTTCAGAATCAGCTTGAGTCTCGTTGCCCGTTAGGATGGATGCATGCTAAAACAACAGTCAGCTCAGCTGTTATCGCTCCCTCCCTCCTCCTCCTCCTCTGCCGCACCTTCACTGCGACTCGCAACTTCGCCTGCTGATGCGCAGCCGTAGGAGCAGCTGAAGACAAGAGCTGTGCGACTGCCAACTCCTTGGCTGCCTGCCAGAAGACGATGAGGGGCGAGAGCGGACGAGCAAAGTTGCTTCAAGTGGAACGGCAAGGGGAGGAGGAGGGGAGGAGGAGGGGGAGGGGAGGGGGGAGGGAAGGAGGGAGGAGGGAGGAGGGAGGAGGAGGGAGAGGGAGGGGGAGGGGGAAGGAGGATGTCCAACCTGTGTGGGCTTATTCGTCTCATCTTGTCCGGCGAGTTTTATGCAGAGGACAACAACAGCAAGCAAGCAAGCCGCGACCTGCAGGGAGGGGGATGAGAAGACGTCGATGATGATGATGATGATGATGATGATGATGGAGATGATGATGATGGAGATGATGCTAGAGATGGAGATGGAGATGAAGATGAAGATGATAATGACAGGGACGGAGGTTGTGGTTATAATTTGGTTGCAGTGAAAGAGGACACGAGCAGAGAATGAAAGAGCGCAAGGACGAGGAAGCGAGAAACAAGGGAGGAGACAGCTCGAGAGGAAGACAGAGGAGATGGAGAGGAGGAAGAGACCGAGTAGGTTCGAGAGGAGAGATCCCTTCTGTGGCTCTGGCTGAAGGAAACTTTCTCCATCCTCCTTTCACGCAGCCTCCTCGAGGTTTCGATCGGATCTGCCAAGCAGACGCCTAGGAGCTGGGGATGCTGACGTGTTGGAGTGACTGCAAACCTTTAAACCAGTCAACGATATACAAGCTTGAAGTGCCTCCAGTGACACCAACGAGACGTGGACTCGTCCTCCTTCTATCATCCTCTGCTCTCTCCTTCCCTCCCCTCGTTCGCCTCCTTGTGCCTCCCCCTGCTCCCTAGCTTGGCATCCCTGCCTGCTTGCCATCTGTCCATCGATCACTACCCATACACAGCCCCGAACTCTTCCTCCCACAATCTCCTCCTCTCCCCCAGCTCTTTTTCCCCCCCCCCC